TTTATAATACAAATATTGCTTGGAAAAATAATTAAGTTAAATATAACCTGTGAAACAAATTATTTTTGTAAGGTTTACGAATGTGTAAATGAACTGTGTAAAAGCTTTACAAAATAATTTTTCAGATTTAGATAATTAAAGATTATACACGGAGTTTTCCAGAGTGGAACACAAATTTTGAAGATTGAACAACAAAAACAAACTTTCGTGATCCAAAAATAAATATTACTGTAGGTTAACAAACTTCCGAATTCTGTATGAATCACAGAGAATCTATGACCCCGAACAAGTGGCGGATCCATAAATTATTCAAATGAGAGGGGGAAAAGTTTAAATTTATTCAATACCAAATTGCGTATAATTCCATTAGGCAGTATAATATATGTACTATACACTTCATATAATATTTATTTTGGATTATAATTTTCTCAAGGGGGGAAGGGCAATTACCCTATTACCACCCTTGGATCTACCACTGTCACGAGCCTTCCATATATTTCCCATTAATATTTTGCTCGCTGTAGTACCTACCCAATACATCACAAGTATATCTTTTGATTACTTGAAACATTAAAATATTTCGTTTACCAAACAATATGATATTATATTCTAAAATCTAAACGCGCAGTTTATTAATTTATTTCATTTTTATTTACATCATTTCAGCTCGAAAATAATAATATAATCAAATAAACTGATAACGCCTTTACAGATTTAAATATAACCGAGTAATATAGATTAGATATATCTGTATACTTATTAAATATAATCGTACTCGATTGAAAGTCCGCCCCGTAACTTCCTCCCCCCCTCCCATCGATGGCACTCGTATTATAATTTCGCAACAACATTTTCAAGATATAATAGTTTCTAATTATAGGTACAATAACATTGTTACGTTATTGAATTATTTGCAGGGCTCAAACGTATTATTATATTATTTTTAGAGTAAAATAATAATTGAACTTTCATAAAGTTAACCCGCGGTAATCGTATTACTTTCCATTAAAGGCGCAACCGTTAGGAATGTTTTATAAATACGTTCATTTTTATGAAGTAACCTAGCGCAGTAAGTACAAAAATTATACACGTTTTATACGGACAGAAGAAAATTATACGACAGAGAAAAAAAAAGTCTCGACTTATCTCGAACCGATGGCAATGGCGTGTCAGCAATATTAAGTGCCTAATCTAATATTTTATAAAAGGAAAATAAAATGCTGCTCTATTTTAATTTATAACAATAATATTATAATTAAAAAAAACGAGATTATTTATTCATGAAACTAATTATATTGAATCGCGGAAAAAAAAACCACCGGGAAAAAACCCCCGGATAAAAATATCCCTGCAAATAAACCCCCAAAGCAACTAGGTACACTGTCAAAATTATGTGTATGAATAAAAAAAAAAAAAAAAAATTGAATTTAGTTTAATCGCCAATAGTTTGAGTGTATATTGTATTTTACACACAGCTGTCGAAAAAAATAATAATAAATAATTAGAAAAAAAAATTTTTTATATCGTATGTATAGGTATAACAACCGCTAAAAGATATTTATTATTTCCTAGTGTGGATTTAATTATGTCCATAGTTGCCACGGTCGCACGGTTTCGATATTACTCTATAGGAACTGAAGAAGTACCAACCCTACGCAATAACTAATAACGCGGTGATACCGAATACGTGTGTCTAAATAATTTGTATCCAATGAATTTTCCTAAATCCACAATTTATCGGCTCTAAAACAATTGATTTTCGGTATTCGGCAACTAAAATTAGTTATGCGGGCTTCCCTTGAGAGAGTAGACAGCACAGTTATGTTCGACATATTCATTTTTTTTTTTTTTCGGAATTTTCGCCGTTTCATTTGTAATCTATAGACTGAAACACCGTACGGACGGCAATGATTACACATTAAACGATAATTTATGCATACACGTATAAATAAAATTGGAGTGAGCGGGTCTGTAAACGTTTTTTTTAAATATTACGACCATTGATGTTTCAGTTGTTTTCGGGGATTTATTTGCAAGGATTTTTTTTCGGGATTACCGATTGTACTTGGTTATCAATCCGGTAGTTTTCGAATAACAAAAAAAAATGCCAAACCCGTACGGAGCTCTTCACTCGCCGGTGCAAGGGTATCCGGAATTCTCAAAAGCCGATAGGGGCAAATCTACATCGTTGACTTCTCACCGACCACAGCGGCCGCACTCGACCGCGCGGAGCGTGTCCGTCTTTTTACAGTTCAGTATTCGCTCATTATTGCGCAGCATAAAATAACGGGTGTTGCGTTTGTAAACGTACGGGCGATCCGTTTGCGGTTTTCAATGAGCTACCGTTGGCCATAACGGATTGCGGATGTGCGCCGCGTTTATAGACGGGCGCGGCGACGGAGACGAATGTAAGACTCAGAGAAATAAACACGTGCGGTCAATATCGGAGACCGATCCCGACCCCAGCCCCCCTCCCGTCCGGAAACGTCACCGGCCGCCGGCTCACGGCGACGGGAAATTCGCCCTGGTCTCCGACGCGCGAAAACCGATCGGGATTTCGGCACGAAAATATTACGCGCCGCCCGATACGCAACATCCGCAGTGCCCGCGTAGTCATGATGTCGTTGCAATGAATAATAAATAACACATACGCACGACACGGTATTAGTGATTTATAGCGTTTCGCACGGGCGGCGGTCCTGTCGAGTGCCGTACACGCGAACCCGTGCGATGCGCCATAACGAACATAACCTCGAAATTTCGTTCCGACGAGTGTTGCGCCGCGTCGCGTGCGTTGTCGTACGCGACTGCGGCAGCCGCCGGTGGTCGGGACGACCGATCGGGACGCGCGTTTACAGACCCTACCCGCGGTCGGCCGGAGCCTGCGCGGGGCACGGGCAGCGACGTGTTGGCCGCGGGCGGCGGCGGGGCGGATGATTTTTTTTTCTTCTAGAAATACAAAGGTCGTCGATACGCGCGGGACGGCGAACGTTAACACTATACACGAAACGGGAACCGAGGGGTGCCCCGTCATACGAGTATGACGTTATTGCTCGGTACCGTCGGTCGGCCGCTTTAGGAGTCCGGCTGTCAGTAACCGGCTGGGTAGGTGCCGCTACTCGGACCTTACGAATATCCCGGATCGTGTTTTGTTTTTTTTTTTCCGAAACCGACCATTACTGTAGACGCGTTACACGGCGTTGTACGGCATTTAAACGAAATCCGTTTCGACGTTCCGAAACACCGCGTTATTTATAAATAATCAGCGCGGTGGAAACCGGTGAAAACCACCGGGGTCCCGCGCTTCGAGTTCTCGCACGAGGCCATCCCCTGTAGCGTATACCCGTCCAAACGGTATCGACACGAGGCCGTTTGAAATATCTGCGTTGGTATGCCGTTTACGCGGCGAGCGGTTAATTAAGACACTCGTTCCGAATAATGAAATGTTATCGATCGACGATAATACGGTCTGTTGTTGTATTGTGATACCGTCTCACCTATTATGAACGTTGATACGTTTGCATTAACTATGTGCGTAACACGTAATACGATCTTTACTGGATTCAATAGAAAAATGTCGAGGGGACGCACGGACGTCTGATGTACCGTAACGGTTGTTTTTTTTTTTTTGTAGCGCGCTAAGAGTAAATACTAACGGAAAATAACGGGCTCGCGCGTTAAATCCGCACTGGAGCGACTCTGGCTGCGGCACTGTAGCTGTTTATATTAATACCCGAGAAAACTATGGACGGGACAGCGGCTCACTCGCGTCGTCTGGCGAGCCGTCGCTGCGGGTCGTACGGAATGTCAGACGTTTTACAAAATCCCGTAACCCGGGTCACTGTTACCCCGGGGAAGTCGGTGTGCCGAGCGTAAACCCGGCGCCGCACGAAAAACCGCGCACGTCTACGTCTGTTTAACCGAAATGAAAAATCACGTCGGACAGCTCGTTTACAGCATTACGCACGCGGCTCGGGCCGAACCGCGGTAGGGTCCGTAGGTACGCGGTCGGGACGACCGCGTACCGGGTAGGGCGACCGTTCACGGCGAGGGGAGCGGCGCGGCGGACGGTAGGGACCGGCGGGATATTATTCTTGGCGGCGCTATACAGCGCATCGATAGTATTTCTCCACACCCCCCCCGGGGCCGTAGTAGTAAAACGCGCGCCGGCCGATTGCGCACCGGGTCTCGGAAACAATCGGAAACGTTTGTGCGCGCTCGTGTCGTCCGCGTACAACCGGTTGAAACGATAATATTTTCCGTACGAAATACGGCGGGCGACAACGGTCACCGCGACGACCGTTGCCGGCTCGCGGGCACGGGCGCGTTTCACGAACGGGAAATGATCGTTGGTGACGTTCCGCGATTGTGCGCAATGACATTATTTCGTTAACGGCGGTGACGTCCGGTCGCGTTTATCGTAGACGGATTTGATGTCGCGTGCCGGTACCGCGCCGGGCCGTTCGCCGTGCCGGGCGTAAACCGCGGCGTAATAAATCGAAATACGAAACGGCCCGAGCGCGTAATCGTCGTATTTTGTGCGCCCGCTGCGGCCTGCACCGGCGGCGGTCGTATAATTTCGGGTGGAGGGGGAGTGTCGAGGCGGTTTTGTTGGCGCGCACCCGATTATTGTTTCGGTCCGTTGCGCACACCCGCGGTTATCGAAAACTACGACGGGAAAAACGTTACGCGCGGCCGGGGTGGGGCGGCGACACGTATTATCCTCCCCCTCCCGCGCGTTCGACAGCCCCCGACGTTCGTACGTCTGTCGGTTGTCGTTTTCGTGGAAACCGGTTTTTAGAAGGAAAAAGAAATGGAACCGGGTACGCTCCGGCCGTTTCCCGGCGGCCGGTCGACTATCGATAGTTTTGGTGGATCTCCCCCTCCCCCCNCCCCCACCACCCGAACGGTCGACGGAATTGTCGGGCCGACATTCCCGTTTTACCGCGGCCCCCTCGGTCGGCGGGACGACGGGTTTTTCGATCGCGCGCGCCGGGGGTAGCAGCAGCTGTGGTCGCCGGCCGTCAGTCGAAACAAAATATCGCCGTCGCGACGCGCGCGGCCCGTCGATACGCCTGCGCCGACCACCTCCGCACGTTTCGAACAGTCAACCGCCAAACGTCGCGTCAACGTCACGATATCGCGCAGCGCGCGTCAATAACCGTCGTCGATCCGCGTTCATCGGTATTGTTTTCGTTTTTCAACGTCGACTTTTTTTCTGTACGCAGCGTCGCATTCGGACATCGGTACGGCCGCAGCCACGCACGCACGCACGCACCCACGCACGGCCAGAACGACGGGTATTTCACGGTACAGTATTTTATTGTTTCGCAGAGCGCAATCGCGGCCGTCGTCGGTTTCGCTGTTAACGCGGTCGTCCGGCCGGCGCGTTTTTCGCGTCGACAATGACAATGTCGGAAGCGCCCGGCCGGCCGCACCGTAATCGGATCAAACTCCCGTGATACACGAGCGAATCCGTCGTGCGGTTCGCCCGGAAACGATTTGTTCGCATATTTTTTTTTTGTATTCGAATTTCGCACCCGGACCCCGCGAACACGAATCGTTTTCGTGCGGACTCTGTACGACGTATTCAAATGCACGTACGGGTTCCGGACGCGGTCCGAAATTATTATTGGCCAGCGGTTGATACTTTTAGGCCCTACCGCCTCCCCCGCCACTGTCGATTTTATTTATTCTGCGGAATCGACGAAAAATGTATTTATGTACGAGATATTATTTGATCAAAATATCCGAACGGGTATTCGCGGTCGGTGACGTTGTCCTGCGAATTATCGACATTGTCGGTTTAGCCGCCCGCCCGCCCGCCCGCGTATCTCGCGATAATTTTCATTCACTCGCAGTTTCAAGTAGGCGCCTGTCTGTATGACATTATGTAGGTGAAGTGTTCGATTTCGAAATTGTTGGAAAAAAAACAACTAGATATCCGTATGCGGTTTTGTTTTTCATCGTCTTTTGTAATATTGCCGACAGGCACGTACGCCGAAAAAACATTCGGAGGCGGGGGTTCACAAAAAACGTACAATAATCAATATTACCAACGTTATCAATGTTTATAAAAACGTATTAAATTCGTATAAATAAATTACGCGACTATTGTATTTCGCTGGGGGGGGGGAGGTCGGGGGTCGGTTGAACCTCCCCGCATGCGTGCCTGGTTACCGTTGTCTAGATTTTCGAACACACCGGAACATTATGCCATCCGCCATGACGCGACAAACTTATTAAAAATAATTTACCAACACTACTGAAATGATCGACGCGAAGCATTTTTTCTTTTCTGTCCGATTTCGAAATTGTACACATTTATAAAAAAAAAAAAATACTCCGCGTAATCACTTTTTAACGTTAGGCGATTTTATTTCGGCCGGACCAGAGTCCGTAGACGAGTGGTGAGAGGTTTTTAAACTCCCCCCCTGGCCCCTCCGGGGGGCCGCTTTTGCTCTTTGGGCGAATATTAACATCCGTTGCCCGGTAACAATCACGGGGCGGACAGCCTCGAGTCCGCGGCGTCATTCTCGGGCTACGGGCGAAATTGCGTGCCGGCGATATTCCGGCGCGCCGCGAAAACGCGAGCAAACGTCCGGCGGGTACTCGGCCATTGCGACCGTTTCCGTAGGAAATACCCAATCACGGCGGGCACTCTCGGGTTCGATCAATTTCGTCGCGGAAATGCCCGCGGTTTTTATCGTTCGTAAAGACGAAAACGGGGGAAAAAAAAAATTAATGAAATCCGACGCGGGACGCCGTACGGCCGAAACCGAGACGACCTTGAATACGACGTAAACACGTAGACGATTTCACGATAATCGCTCGTCTGAGTAAACAAAATTCCCTAATCTGTCTGTTTACGACGGCAAGTCCAATATTGAAATAGCGCCGATCACGGGAACCGTCGTCGTCGTCGTTCGCGTATTATTACGGAGCGCGGTATTAACGTGATTCTCGTATTTGGGTTTCGATAGCAACACCCGCCCGTCCGCGCCGCTTCGTTGGCCGAAATTAATCGTTTAAAAATGATTTTTTTTTTTTCTCTCTCTCTCTCTCTGTCATTCGAATCCTTGCGCTATACGTTTTTGAAAAATATAACAACCGCCGTGTTATCGCGAGAACGAGAAAGCGGAAAAATGATAAAACCCGTAGGCGCGTCAGTGTACGGCAATATATTTTTAACGTGATATTATTACGGCGATTGCCACGGGCCCGTGTACGTTTCGTTTCCGATTTACCGCGGGCCCTGCGCGTCGGACGCCATTCCCCGTTTCCGTTTTGTACGGTGTTAACCAGAATTCGCGGGACTTGTTGCGCTTGAAGTCCGGGGAACGGCGTTTTTAGAACGTGAAAAATGATATTTTTAAAAACCCAAAACGGTAGCGGAACGGTTCAAGAGTTCTCCCACTTGATCTCGCCGCCAACACGTTAAACACGATTTTCCGACACTACAAAAACGTTAAACGCGAAGTGATTTTTTTTGTTTTTTTTTCTGTCTCTTTCGCTTTTCCCGTTGTTCATTTACTTACCGACTGCGTTCGGTTTCAAACGGAACGTCCGATTCGGGGCGCGACGGATATTTTGACAGAATAATATTGTCGGGCGTTTTTTTGTCGTTGCGATTCCGCGCGCTCGTGACACCGTCGCTTATCAGCGTACCCGGCTTTGTACCATCGACAACGTTTGCATTAGATGCACGCAAGTAGTCCGTAATTGGTTTTTAATACTTTGAACCGCCGACCGCGATACGCTAGTCCGCGCATTGCACTTCGACGGGCGTGCGCGCCGCACTATTTATTTGTACCCAATACCCAATTATAAACGGACACGGCCCCGATGTCGAACCGCGTATGAATTACACGAACACCGACAGCTATTATTTCGGCGTCCGACGGTGTTGACCGCCGCGAACGCGCGGTTATTGTTTGTAGTCGCCGTCGAACCGCGTTCGGTTGTCGGGAAAAGTGTCCGCGAATTGTGTTCGCACTGCGCGATCCGGCATTCGAACCGAATAACCGTCTCGCCGTCGTCCGTGATGAATAAACACCGTGAGATTATCGCCCGCCATTTGTCGTCCCTGCACAACGTACGCGAGGGAGAATGGTCGGGGGGCGCCCGAGGAATATCGATCGTTTTTTTTTTTTTTTTTTTAATTTTGAAATCAATCGAATTTTGAATCGGAACGAGAAATCAGTAACTTTGTCGCATTACTTCGCGTGTGCTCTATTTTTCGAGTTTCGTGTCTAGAATGTGTAATGTAGATTCGGAGCGTGTAGCGAGGTTTTACAATGCTGTTTATTATTTTTTTTTTTTTCTTCTTCTTCTTCTTCTCCTCCTTTTACTCCGTACATCTTTCTCCGGCGTACCAGGCACTTTTCCGAAAGGTAATTTTACCTACTTGATATTATAAGGTGGTCATTTTCCGATTTTCCAAGCGGTTTTCATAACGATTAGGAAAAACAAAGGAAAAACCGGACAATTTACGAAAATAATTTTTTGTATTATTATTTTCAATTTTGTTTTTTTCGCTGCAATTCAATTTAAAATATTATAAATACGGAAAACGTATATTCGCCTTTTCTAGACGTGGTCAAATTTTCAAAACATTTTCATCAATTTTGAGCTATTTGTACATTTTAATTTCGCGAGTTTTTACGTAATTTTCATTCGGTTTGTACTCTGTGGATAAAGTTGTTAGACCGAACCGAAATTCATGCATATTTAACAAGAGGTTCGTTCTTCGTTCTCCGTGGTTAAAAAAATTAAAATTTTGACGAAAATCGTAAATATTACGGCCTTTCAAAACATGTACAACCGAACATCGCTCCGAATCGTTTTTCGTTAGCAATGGTTTATCGTATGCATTGAGTTCTCCTCTATATCCTCTATACCTTCTCAAACTTCTCACCCACAATCGCGGCCCACCCGTCGCGATAAGCACGCCAGTCTTTTTTTTTTTATTGTATAATATTGTTGTTTACTGTTTGGACATGTAGGTTTCTCCCCTGTCCCGCGATTCGTGATTCGCGACACGCCGATATTATATAACAAAAACAAAAATGAAAATTGCTCGATTCTACCGAGCAGTATCACCATTGCCGTATAGAGTGTATTTTTATGGACAAAATGCCATTGGCATTTTGGGTGCTTTAAGTGCCCGTCCCAGGTAGGTATGTACGCCACACTGGTGGCACCAGAGCTCAACATTAGAGTGTGTCCCCGTACTCAAAAGTATTTAGTAGTAGGCTTAGGTGGTGCCAAATGACCGGCGGGTAATATTTCGTATAATTTTTATTTTCGTAGTAAAAAGTAAACATAATTTAAAAAAAAAAAAAAGTTGTACCGCGTATACGTGAATCAAAAAAAAATTCAAAACTCGTCTGCAAATGTGTGTTCCGGTAGTCTCCGTCCTCTCTCGAATAATCCCATTTCAATCCGAGAACATCCAGCTGAAATATTAAGTAGTATCTCATATCGTGATCACGCGGTATGTCGTCCACTGTTAGCCCGATACCACAAAGCCCGCTGGGGCATTTGTTTTGAGGGGCGCCGTAGATAAAACAAATTCGGAGGCCGTCGGAAAATCGGCGCGATATTGGGTCGGCCATCGGAACAAAGGTGTCATCGGTCGATTGCATTAATGTTATTATAAAAATACCTGTTTATAAAAACGATTTTCAGTTTTCCCTGTTTTGTGTTGTATGCAATTCATTCGTTCGCGCAGTCATTAATGACAAACGGTTACATTTTATTATTCTGCTGCAGTCTGTAACGGTCGACTAAAGTCCAAACAAACTATGTCCTTGCGCAAAGGTCAATCAGTAATTCGGTAACGATATGTTATAACTAATCTCGGGGCCTGGCGGGCTCCCGCGAGTCACTGGCCTCCATGGCCGGGCCCGCGCCGGGTATATCTATTAAAGAAATGTCATCACTTTCCGTGTACGCCTAATCGAATGTGTTTTCAATTAGATTTCAGTAGGACAACAGAAGGAAAACACAAACTGCCATAATGTTCGGCTCGATCTACAAGCTGTCGACGAAATTGAGCAATCGTTGCGTGACGAAAACCCTGTCCAGGAGTATAACCCAGCAACGGGCCAGCATGGAAGAGTATTTCAAAGGCAAGCGTTTTATTGTGACCGGAGCTAGCGCTGGTGAGTACAACACCTACGAATAAATCGAATTATTTCACCAATTAGGTATCTTTTATTGAAAATTCACTATTATTATTTCTATGTTGCGGCGTGCCGCGTTTATACAAAATATTTACCGAAATCTCCGGTTTCGATTATTATATATTGTTACGTTTGGTGATGAAAACTGCGAGTATTATTCAAATAAAATTTTCTATTATTTTTATTTAACTATTTTCCTTATTTTCTAGTTATTTTCGTGATTTCGTGTGCAGAACGTGTTTGTCTTTTGTCATTTTCTTTTCTTTTTTTTCAGAAATTCGTGACGACCCAACAAATGCGCACTACTTATACATACCTACGTGATTAGATTATACAATGGTACCTACGTACAAACAAACGGGGGATATTTTTTTTTTTTTAAATTCTCAACGTATATTCTCTAGACGAGTTGTATACATTGGTCTGATCGTGTACGACTACATAGAAAATAAAATCGAATAATCGAGTATATTTACTATTAATTTTTTTACGGTGCGGGGCAGAATCGTAGCCCGAAAATTCCAAAGGGGGTGTTATTTCACTATAATTATCACCATTATTTAACACTTTCGGGAGGACGTGATTGCCGCTATCTTACAAACGTACGGCACAGTAAATTTTCATTTAGCAGGGACAACTGCAGTTAGTTTTAATATCAGCGTGGATTGACCCACTATCAAACTTGAAAATTATTAACATTATCTGGGCTACGTTGACGCTATTTTTTCGATATTTTAATTGTAAAGCGAGATATAAGCATTATTAAATTGTGATATTCTACATAATCATATATCTCGTTTGGAAATTAAAATATCGAAAAAATAGCGCAAAACTTATCCCGGATAATGTTTTAGTTTTTAACCTTGATAACGGGTCTGATATTAAAACCAATAGTATTTTTTCCCGATGAACGCAAATTTGGTATGTCTTACGTGTTTAGATTCTGATCAGAATTTATTTGAATTCATTGGTTTTACAATGATGATTATTTTTTTCTGTGTTCAAATTTTATATCAGAAATTCTGCTTTGATTTTCTAACGTAGTTTTTTTTTTCTGAAGGGAAAATTAACTGAGATGGTACTCTTTTAAGAAATCATTTTTTTTTTTTATTTTTCCAGGGGTTTTCATAATAAATGGGACGAAACGTATTATTTTCAAATCGTAAACATTACGACCTTTCAAAATATGTGCAACCGAACTCCCTTCAGAATCGTTTTTCGTTAGCAGTAGTTGCATAAAGATACACATTAAATTACCCCTCTGCCTTCCCAACTTCTCACCTACACCAATGACCCACTCATTGTACGAAATATGTAATTTTTATTTTTTTTTTTAAAACTGAGACAACACGTCATACGGGTATCACGCCCTCTTAAAAAATCCACCGATATAGATAACAATATTTGTATTTTTCTCGACGGAAAATGGTAATCGTTGGTAATTATACCAATAGTTGCAGTTAACTAATAACTATAATACATCAATTCCATAGTTCGTGACATCAATATAATATAATCTATAATCTTTGACGTCTTATTATAATTTTTATAAAATACAAACATCGTAATGAAATTTACAGTTATAACCCACCTACAACTTTCCCTCTCCCTCGCTACACTATTGGTGCCGAGTGTATTTTGCGAGACACAAACTTTGTTTGTCATTCTAATCCGTTTTACCGCGCGTCGATCGTTTTAATTATTTTAATTCGTCGTAATAATTGTACATTTATACGTAAATAAGATAATCAGAAATAACGTTATTTGTTTGTTCTCGGAATATTTATTACGACGTCGTTGTACGGATAATAAAACATCACTTCAACAATCGAGTGTCTCATCGTTAGAATACTAAAAATTTGTTGTTACAAACCGTTGGTGTACCGAAACATTTTGCACCGGTTTACTAACACTTGATACCGACTATTTTACACCAGTATAGATATTCGACGATGGAAATCGGCGCGTGCATCCCCACCATTGTCCAAAATTAACAATGATTATACTGTCAATTGAATATTAATCAATTATTTAAATTATTAGTTTATATACATAAACAATTTCCAACTAATAAGTATTTAATAAAAATTAATTTGAATTAGGTATTAATTGTTATCAATTAAATTATTATTATTATTATCATTTATTTGTTCGTTTATTATTTCGAGAGTGAAATCATAGGGGATGAAACCGGTGTAAATGGTTTGCACCATGGGCATGTGATGGTGCAGAAAAATTAAACCGATGTTAAAATCATAACATCGGTTACTTCAAAAAAATGTCTCATATTCACACTAGTTTGGTTTTTAAGGGGAAATTTATACCGGTTTGTACCATCGTATCGTTAATAAGTGAATCAATCATGTTACTGGAATACAAAATGATGAAATACTTTCCCAGCATAAATGTTGACTATGACTATGTCTATGACTGGGTGCGGAATCCATTCAGTGTATCAGTTAACGAGATGATTGGTTCGACATTCGCCGAAGAAGACAATCTTATCTCACTGAAAAATGATCGAACATTGAAGTTAGAATTTAAAGAAATGACCGTTAACAAATTTTGGATATATGCTCAAGCAGAATTTCCTGAATTATCTATAGAAGCAATAATAATTCTACTACCATTCTCCACGTCGTATTTATGCGAACAAGGATTATCGACAGTCACAACAATAAAAAGTAAAAAAAGAGAACGACTTCGACCCGTAGAAGATCCGAGAATGAGCTTGTCCACAGTTCGTCCTCGAATAAAACATTTGTGCACTACACGTCAAGCACAAAGTCTCATTAATCGGTGTACTTTCATTTCACAATAATTAACCCTCAAATAGAGTAGATTGTAAATAGCGTACCTATACATGTGTGTATATATTTTATATAAAATATACTTCACGTATTATATGGATTGGTGTGTCGCGAAAATTTTGTAGATGACGTGTGCCGCGTTGTTAAAAAGGTTAAAAATCACTGGTCTAATGTATGCGTACGCCTAATTAAACCGGCGACTATTTTCATTAATATAACATAATTATGAGAATGATTAAAGAGATTTTTCTAAATAACACGTTGAAGACACTGTGCCTAGTGAGACATATTTTAATCCGAGTATACGGCTCAATAATTTGAGTCCCACGCGCTGCTAGTGGTTCTATTCAACTCGATCGAGTTCAACGCAAATTCTAATTGAGGTGCCTAGAACACAAGGGGTATAAGTTACATTTTTAAAAACCCGAGTTAAGAGAACAGTTGAACTAAAAATATTACATTTTATTGGGTAGTGAAGAAATATAAGAAAATTATTCAAATGAAAACGTCATAATACTATAGAAGTAAATAGGTACAAGGGTTCACAAAAGCTTTAAACACACACTTGTATCTTTACTGCCAAGTGTTAAAACTTTTTTATCATTCGAACACAAGAACAGTGATAATATGACAACATACTATAATTGTATTAAATACAAATAACTTTTTCTCGAAATCAATAAAATAACACTTACACCCCTTGTGTTCTACCATTCTAGGCGCTTCGATTGAGATATTCTAGTTATATTTTTGGTATTCAATGTCTCCTCTCATGACTACACTCCCGTCTCAAAGTTTCTCGGCCTAGAATCTTTAGCTAACCGTAGACGGATGTTCCTTATGTTAGACAAGACTTTTAAGACGGTCTGTTATGCAATTATACAATAGACTCTCCTGCTGAAGAATTACACATACACAATAAAACTAAAACGAAGAAAAATAATTTTAATAATATTTTAAATGTAAAAACCGATTTTAAAAATAATCTTATGCCAATAAATTTTGGACGATAATGAATAATAACCAAATTATTTTATATTCCATAACATATTTTAGCCTAATAATAACTCATTTTAAATAATCTCTCCAATTAAAATAAATTATTTCTATGCTAAACGACCAATTTGTATAATTTATTCTCTATGTATTAATCATTTGTTTTTTTTACTTTATTGTTTCATAACAATATTCGTATACCGCTCGTGAAATTTGGGAGTATTGAGCGAAGACCAATAAATACGCATTCTCCGAAAATTATTAATTCAACGTCGATCCATAAAACATCTAATCAGTATTTTTTATTGAACATAATTACACGAAGCTAAATCGAACTCGTTTACTAGAACGACTACGCGAGTTATAAACGAAATAAAATGACGCACGAGCACCTACCTACTGTGTTTCAACAGAAATGATTAAAAAAAAAAAAAAACGAAATAAAAATCTACTTATAACGGGGTAGATGAGGGAGGGGTCCATTAACAATCGCTTTGCTACAAAATTAAAGTCAAACCGAACGCTGTTGATTTCTAGACGGCGGACTCTCCCCTCCTCCGGATTCCATTAATAACTGCAGCTGCAGGAATTGTGACTATTTGTTTTTTCTTGCATCAATCGCTAGTTAAAACTCGACGCGACGTTTTAGATAATATAAAACCAAAAAAGAAAATCGGACCTTTAAATAAATAAAATATATCTGTACTACTATAGGTAATGACTGCATAAAATGTTCATAATTTTCTTAGATTTACCTATTAATCAAACCGCAGATAATTAAACAATTTAGTGTACTTACCTACTCGAACTATTGCTATAATCAGTGGCATTTAGTTGTTTAGTTTATTTCAAGTAATAGCATTTTTTTTTTTTTTTACTTTTTTAGAATTTCCGACAATACACGTTCGTACACTCCTCCACATAGCGTCGGCCTGCAGTTGGCCCATAATTTGATTAATATACAATGTTTTGCCACGGGCATTAGAAGTTCTAGTTACGCCACTGGCTATAATACATGATATGATAGATGTAAAAACCGAAATCAATATTATAGTTGTTATAATGTCTACAATTTACGATAATACTTACGGTATTTAACTTCTCCATTATATTATTATTTTATTATTCTTCATCTCCTTCGCCTTCGTCCCAACTGTGTTTAGAACTATTCGAAATCAATGACGGATCCAGTTTCAAAGTACACAATCACTAAATTTTCAAAAAAAAAAAAAAACGAATAACATAATCAAAAAACGGTTTTTTTGTTTTGTACTGGTTTTTAGATTCTGAACGAAGCTAGGAATATTTGGTTTACTATGATGTTTATTATTTCTTTGTTTTCATTTGTAAACGATTTTTCCATCAGAAATATTGCTCCGATTTGAAAGTGTAGTACCCTTTTTGAAAGGTAGTTTTATCCGGGTGATATTTTAAGGAGGTCATTTTTTGCTTTCTTTAACGATTTTCATAATAATTGAGAAAAATCGGAATGAAAGGGAAAATGTACGTGCTATATTATTTTAAATTTCGTATTGTGTTGCGATTCAATTAAAAATATTAGTAGAGAGTTAAAAGAAAAATTATATTTGCCTTTTTTAGAAGTAAAATGTTTAAAACATTTTACGTTTTGAAACATACTTGTCAAAGGAGATTGCACGTTTCTAAACTAAATGCAATTTTCAAACTTTAAAAACATTTAAAATACATTGGAGTTTGATCATTCAGCTCGAAAATAGTGAGTTAGGTGTATTCGAATTTAGCGCTGTAAATTGCATATGAAATGACATTTACCTCGTTTATCATGAAAATTGAAGATTGCATACATTAAAACTAGACCCCTCAAGTATTTTATCGATAGTATATTATTATCTATACCATCGATTATGAGATTCAATCAATGCTTATAATTTTGATTTCTTTTCTATAATAAGTAATTAAATTATCAAAGTCGGGTAAATGTTTTTTTCCATCTAGGTTCCTACCTACAATGTAAATATATATATATATTATTCGAATAATTTGTCTATAATATTATAATTATTTTAAAAAATATTTTTAACATGTATTTATTTGTGCACGATTTACATGTTTTTTTTTGTCAATGTAGCTATTATGTTTTTAACATCCAATATGGCTGTACAGCTAACAGATGTATTGCTATATCGGATATAAACATTCGATTTAAACACAATATGGCGATAGTACGTGTATACGGCGTGTTTTAAAACGCAATTCTGTTTGCAGTAATACTTTTAATTGAATACACGTGTACCTATAAGTGTTTTGAAATATTTATTATAAATGGGTAATAATTAAAAGTTGTTTAATTAATTTGTTTAATACTCGTGGTACAAATGGCCCGGAAATTTATCTGATGAATCCTCAGTTTGACTAATACTAGCTGTATTTATTCTGATTTCTGTTAACGTTGTGTTACGCAGGCATGGGAAAAGTGATCGCCGGACGACTGATAGCGTTGGACGCCCACGTGTTCGCTGTGGGCAGAGACGTGGAACGTTTACCTGACGCGGACAACCTGAAGTTAACCAAGGCGTCGGTGGACGTGGGCGAATGGGAAACGGCGTACAACGAGGTACTGGCCATGGGGCCCGTCCACGGACTGGTCAACAACGCCGGCGTGGCGCACATCGAATCTTTTCTGGAGACGACGAAAAAAGGATGGGATGAGTACGTTTCCCTCCCCCCCCCCGAGACGGTTGATAAATATAATGCCATAGCAATCGCGATTTTTATTTTTATTATTAAATTTTCCCTTATTATTATAAAAGTACTTGCAAGGAATTTTCAAAAAAAAAAAAAAAAAAATTTACTTCCTCAATGTTCCAACCAAACAAAAAGATCCAACATTTTCTGATAAAGATCATTGAAATAAAATCGTTTGTTGAGGTTGACATGATGCATAAACACACTCTTCCACTTATTTTGAATATAAATAAAATCAACGTGTGATTATTGGAAAACCAATAATTTATAAATCAAATATTATAGTATTTCTTATTCTAAAAAAAAAAAAAATGCTTTATTATCCAAAAAATAATGTTTAAAGTAATCAAAGTGGGTCTATAGAACTTCTCTCCATTCCCCCCTCCCCCGTCTCAGAATAAAAGAATTGCTCACATCCAATGTGTATCATATCAAAAATATTATTTTGGTTACCACAAACATACAATATAAATATCATGATTTTTCATAATTATCTTGTAAACAAGTCATAATAATATGTTACCTGTAAACTGAAGGAATAATATTCCTTACATTTCCATATTATATTATAATTTTTTTTTTTTTTTCAGTACACTTAACATTAATGCCAGAGGAATGGTGAGGATAAGTCAAGCTGTTGCCAAAAATATGATAGATGCAAAAATCAGAGGATCAATTGTTAATATATCGTCAACTATATCTGAGGTTATTATTACCTACTTAAAACTCTGCTATAATATATCTACTCTACCTATTATAGTACTATACTTTTTTTTTTTTCATTGTATACTCTATTTTATGGATGGGCAAATTATAAAAAAAAATGTAAACTCTAAACAAAATTACTTTATACCTAATTCTATTTTCTAATCAAAAAGTACAACTTTTTGACGCCCTGTCTAATTATAAGTTATACACTCAGTCACTCACACTAAAAGTATTTTTTTATTATTGAATTTTTAAAAATAATTATTATTTTAGAAAGCAATACCAGATCATGTGGCTTATTGTGCGTCCAAAGGAGCTGTAAATCAAATAACAAGAACAATGGCAATAGAATTGGGAACTTACGGCATCAGAACAAACAATGTCAATCCAACTGTTGTTCTTACCAAGATGGGTAAAAAAGCATGGTCGGACCCAAAGAAATCCGAACCAATTTTGAACAGAATTCCGTTGGGAAGATTTGCAGGTTTGTAAAAAAAAAATTATGGTTATAGTATTATAGTATGTGATCTTGTAATATTTTCATGGTAATTTTTTTTTTTCTAGAACCTAGCGATATTGCTGATGCAGTAATATTTCTGTTAAGCGATTATTCACAAATGGTTAATGGCCTGAATCTTTATGTAGATGGAGGTTTTATGTCTGGATAATTATAGGTATTTTGTTACTTTTTTTTAATTTCAATAGGCGAACAAATTAATATGATTCAATATCTAGTTTTACGCCTATAGATCTTAAAAACATTCAAACATACTCATTGCAATCCATTAAAAAAAAAAAAATGTTGATTATTATTTTACTGTTGTGTGATCATTGTTATTAATACTATACAATAAAACTTAATACCCAACTATTTTTGATTTTTGTTTATTTTAAAAAGATATGTACAACTGTTGTGAGGTCAACAATGATGTTTGGGTCTGAGTAGTGGAAATAAGAATACAAAGGTGAATTGGATGAAACCGGATGAATTGGTTGGATTTGGAATAGTGTATATATGTGTACAGGAATAGTTTAGAGATTAAAAATATTGTACATACAAGATGAATATTCCGAAATCGAAAATTAGCAACACAGATTTGTGTATATTAATAGTCATATTTTTGTAAAGCAAGATTTTCAGCAGTAGCCATAATACAAGTATTGGTATAATGTGGAAAAAGAAATAAGTTTCGCAATTAAAAAAAAGATTCCTGACTTTACATTATAATACAAGATTACATACAAAAAAAAAAATAATTTTTAATCCATTTTATTTTATATTATTCAATGGACATAAGAAAATATTCCTAATTTTTGGGAAGTTTGGGAATTGCTCAGCTAGAAGATATTTGGACATATCAAAACCTGTATGTGTGCAAATGTATTATGTTAAAATGAATAATAACAAAATGTTGTCATTGTGTTAAAATCCAATGGTACGTGGTTTGTCATAAATTATTAAATCATAGTTTTACTAGTTATAAAAAAAAAAAAAATTAACGTTACATTTTATTTTACATTGATTTAGAACATATAAGCATGTGGTAAAATTGTCAAATAATATAAATTCTAAGAGTTTTTTTTAAAAATCATATTATTTCCTTATATTTACAATTAATATTGTATTGTAATAGGATTGTAAATAAGTTTTACACAATTACAATATTGTAAATATTAAAAATCAAAATATACACATACCCCCGATCTAATGGTTACATAGATGTTTATTTTTACTTGCACTTGCAAGTCTTTAAAAATCTAAATTAGATAACATCTATTTGCAAAGAAATTGTAATAATTATTTTATTATGTCATAATACCGTAGAAAAAAATAACTGATATTGCAAAGGTAAGTACCATAAATTTTTATAGCTATTTAGTAATCAAATGTACAAAATATTATAAAATATTTCGACGGGGAAAAAACTTGAAAACTTATACTCGACATTATCGCCAAACTAAACAAAATGAAATAAATTAAAAAAAAAAAAAAAAAAAAATGTTTTTATTACATCTCGTTAAGTTTTTATGACCAACAAGATCTGAATACTGTTAGATAGTACAAATACATGTTGTCATTGAATAATAATACTAGCATTTTCTAGCCATGGTATAATTTTCAATATATTCTGGTGATTTTTGAGTTATTTATACCTATTTCAAATTACCTATTGTTTTGTGTTTTAGATTTTTAGAAAATTATATACAAGTTTCTTCGTATGTTGTTCTTAGGGTAACATATAAATTAAAAATCGGTAGTTAGGATGTTTTTCATGAGAATTTTAATTTTAGATTTTGATATAAATTATATAAAATATTTGATAAAACCTTGGTTTGTCATAGGTTGTACATGGAAAGTTGTTATCTAATCGCAATAATAATTCATTACCATTTTCAAAAATAAAAATAACAATAAATGTAGCTGGAATTAAAAGAGATATAAGGGAAGTTATATAAGTACAATAATAATATAGGTATTAAGTTTACATTTAAATTTTATTTTATCATTTTTTATAAATCACAGATTAAAATTTTACTCAATTATTGTAATGAAAAAAAAAAAAAAAAAACAGTATACATTTTTCTTGAAAACAAGAAATAAAATATAACAATACAATAAAATAATATGGAAATAATATATAGTATTAATCTAAGCCTTTGTTTTTGACTTTCCGGTGTCAAATAATTTACGAACAAAATATACTTGCAATGTACCTGTCCCCATTATTAATAACATTTGCATTATGGACCACCTGTTTACATATGTTTTGTTATCGACCAATATATTATAATCACGACTCTCTTGACTGCGCAAATGGTATTGATTTTGTAACATAAAATTTATGTTACTTTCTACAGTTTTTACAGAAGTCTGAAAAAATGTATTTAAACGGAGGATTTAACAATAAATTGTTTAACACAAAAATATTATACAAAATAATAAAAACTCACTGTGAAATTTTCAACGCTGACATTCATTTCTTCTATTTCTTTGTGGTATTCGTCCCATTTATCATACCTATATATTTTAAAAAAAAAAGTTATGGTTACTATTTCTTTTCAATCATTGTTTGTTTTTATTATATAGATAATATAAGTTTTGAGTAATTATATTTTAATATAATTATAAATAGGCAGTGATATACAATTTCGAGTAATTTATTTTTCTATATCAAAATACCAAATTTAATAAAATAATAATATTATTATTGAAACTATAAAATACCCACATGGCTATACTACATTACAAACATATTTTTTTTTGGGAAACTTCAAATTTATATTTTGCTTTAATAATAGTTAATAAATATTTGTATGCCCAAAAAAATTTAACAACACTTAACAAAGCTAAACAAAACTATATATCTAATACATAATACTACTGTCCATAATTTAACCGGCCCCAAGTTATATTACTATTGTTTTTTTATTTATTATTAATTAATTAATTAATTAATTACTATCATGTTATAAATGTCATAATAGCCAAAATTACTCTATTATTATCTGTAGATGTAAATAGCCTACACAGGCTAGACATGTTTTATTTTACGCAGAAAACAAAATAATAAATAATATAAAACATAAAATATCACTAAGCAATAAAACTGATCGAGATATCAAGATGATCAGCTCGAATGAATACTAATATTTGATTGGTTTTATTTTAAATTAAAAATAAAATACTCGTAAAATAGTAAAATAGGAAATTTATATTTACTATACCTACTTTGCTGATAGATCACTTACTTTAAAATACTTTAGCAATTAACATCACTACAAATAAGTACAAACTACATTTAATAAAATGTTTAAATTAATTTTAAGAACAGTAGATAAGTTAGTATTAATAATTATAACTGGCTATCAATTTTAAATAGAATATGCTAATGGAAAATAATAATAAACCAACCTAATAACTGTGATGTACAAATTTACCAATTTGGCAGCAAATTTTGAAAATTGATTATCAATACAAACACTGTAATAGCCGCCCGTGGAGTCTTGATCTTGATAATCAGAACTTGCTTTCCATTGATATGGATGAACGATTTGACCGTTTGGGTGTCTAACAGCAAAACCGGCCATTCCATCTCCTCCTCTCAATACCTAAAAGAAATTTAAATTATTTATTCAAACTATGAAGTGTTTTTCAAACAGAATAATAATAAAAATATATATAGATAGACAAGATACTTGAGCGCTGGCATAAAATGTGGCTCCAGGATTAACAAACTGAAAATAACAGTCCTCTTTGCCCGGGTCAATGATTACTTTATAGTCCATCGCGACTGCTGGTAAAGATTCATACCACGGTATGGATGGTGCATTTTGTGGAATCTGTGCAGGCAGGTCTTCTTGTGGTAATGGTACTGGCTGTGCTTGGCCAATAGCGCCATTGATTTTACTGTAAGCAATAATACAAACAAACAGTAAAGAAAACCTAATGAAAATATTTTTCTTTTGGTGTCTGGTGATCATAGTGGCAAACGTTTTTTCAAAATATAAACGAAAACAATAATCACAATAATCTTAATATTCAAATTTAGTATAAAACATAATTTATTTCAAACAAATAACTTTCTCCCGATCGAGTCGGAAACGCCAACAGACAATATTCCACGATACACACAAGAGCAATACCAAATAATATTATCAGTCTTATCCAGTCTCTATAATAATAGTACACAGTAGTATTGTATTATATTGTTTTGTATTGTTATCACAGATTGTTTTCATTCGCGTATTATACACGACCACGATTTTGTAGATAATATTACTCTGAAAACGTGTACACGAGTCGTACATGAAGTTCGGAGCGGACTCCTTATCATTTTTCGGTACAAAAGATAACAAAAACTGATAATGAGTTTTATGATAAAAATAACATGGCAATTTATTTAAAGTATTATAAGAATCTATACTCACTACTCTATAGTAGTACCTAGGGGGTAAAATGACGGAAACTTTCGCAAATTCTAGTTCGCGACGAAAAGTATCACGGAGGTCGAAGGCAATAAAATAATAATAGCTACTAAAATAATTTATTAATAGACAGTATTGTGAAATAAATATGAATAAGCTAATTTATCATTTATGAAAATAGTTGACTGCACAGATATATTATGTAGATAAGGTTAGGTATGGTAAATATAGATAGGTACAGTTCAAGTAGAAAACTGGTACGTTGTAAACATTGACCGAGATATTTGATCAACGTAAATTACTTATAAATTTGAATTGTCCGAGTTGGGAGGGGGGGAGGGGGTCACGTACGTCATACCTATAGACGAATCCCGGAAAAAAGAACAACAGTTTTAAACATATTTTTTTGTTTTCTGTTAATCGTTTCCCCAATCGTATTCCAGACTTGTGTAATATTACCGATATTACTTTTAAATTTAGTTTTATAATATTCATTTTTTGCCAGTCTTATTAGAAAGCATAGTTTATTATTATAACTGTGTAATCTAACATAAGTTTTTCTTTTTCATTAACATTTTACTTGATTTCTCACTGGTGCTGGTTGAGTTCAATACGTGCGTGTTGTTATCCACAGTTTAATTTTTCTCTTGTTTGCCAAGTTATTCTTTGATGTTTGTGAACTCTTTAAATAATTATTCGACAATCGTTTAATTTATTCGCACGTGCATTTACGTCCAATTCATTCGGTATCGATAACCAATTTTGTTCAGTTAAAAATGATGTTGACATGTTAACATCAACTGCGCTTATATGGTTAATTATTGTTTCACATGTAATGTAAGATCGGTAGGTTATAGGAATAAAAATCTGTTTAAATCGTTGGCTTTTTTTATAAATACGCGATCAACAGTTGAATCGCGAGTATCGTTTTTCTCTAGTAATAATATTTATACGCTATTATACCGCTACAATTAGCCATGTCGCGCAATTGAGTTCCCATTATGACATATATAATTTTAATACTCCTAGAACATTATTGTGTTCGCGGTTTGATTTACCATAAGAATCGTTTGTTTCTATGTATGAAAAACTGTGTTGTAGCAGCGTTTCCGTTACCTACTTGTAAAACCGCACAGTGACGGACACAGCATTTTTTTTTTCGCGCGAGGGGTTTGTTAAAGTTTTTACTAGTTGTAGGCAGTTGGTACTGAACAATAAACGTGCCGACAAAACGTAATAAAATATTATTTTGATTTTAAGCGCAACGAGGAATGTATTGGTTCATTATGATGTGCGCGGTTTTTTTTTAAATTTTTTATTTTTTCCGTCTACAAACAGCTTTCCCACCAAAATTAATACTACTCTGATTTTCAAATGTACTATACTTTTTGAAAACATATTTCAACTAATTGTGGTGCGTTGAGGCGATTCTCCTCGCAACGGGCAAAACCGTGAAACAACATTAGAAAAAAGTAAAAACTACAGCAACAACGGTTTCGTTATTTTGTAATTTGTTTGTTTTTCTTTATAGCAATACACATTTTTCAAATTTCGTTATTTATAAAATTTACGTCACTTTGATTTAATTATCTGCGACGTTATTAGGACAAACGGATGACTCGTTCTTCCTTTCCCCTGCCTCTAAATCCGCCGTGGTAACCGCGGTAGATCCGTTTGCCCGTACGGCCGGGTGATCGGCAAGGTAACTGACGCAACACAACCGCGCATTAATATTATTTTGCGAAGAACGCGCACTCAAAACAAACGCATTCGTTTTAATTCGGTACTAGCCCGAACTCATTATTGCATACAATAATTGTTTCATTGCGCCGATCGAATGTCAAAACCAAAAATGAGTACTGTCGTGCTACATATTCCTAAGCCCCGGACGCGCAACGGAATAATTTGCTTAGTACAAGAACGGTCCACGCTCAATTAACATACCCAACTCACTATTTCGGAGTTATAAATACTATTTTATGCTCACGTCAGTTTACGTTAAACGATTCAAGTAGAAACGGTTGGACGCAATCCGTATAAATTCGTGTTTTATTATATAACGTTACACATTTATATAATATATAGATAATACATAATCTGGCTGAACAAAAATCTCAACAGTAATTTTCCTCGTTAAAATGTATTCGTATACATTTTAGATTTTCACCAGTACAATAATTTACTTCACTTAAATTTCCCACACACTTAATACATAGGTACGAGTTATTATATAACTATAAATTATTATTAATTTTTATGGGGATGATCGTGTTCGCCGTGATGATAGTTGGGTCCACCGTGTCCGTGATATCCACCACTGTGATCGTGATGGCTGCCGTGTCCGTGACCTTCGTGTTCCTTATGCCAGTCACTGTGATTTTTGTATTTGTTGTGTCCACACTTTTTATGTTCTTCGTCTTTTTCTTTGTGTTCGTCCTCTTTTTCTCTATGTTCGTCTTCCTCTTTTTCTTTGTATTTGTCGTGCTCTTCCTTTTCATTATATTTGTCGTGTTCTACCTTTTCTTTATATTTGTCGTGTTCTTCTTGTTCTTTGTACGTATCGTGCTCCTCTTTTTCTTTGTACGTATTGTGTTCTTCCTTTTTATTATACGTGTCGTGTTCATCTTTTTCTACATACTTTTCGTGTTCTTCTTTTTTTTCATATTTATCGTGTACTTCTTTTTCTTTGTATGTATCGTGTTCTTCGTTTTCTTTATGTTTTTCGTGTTCTTCTTCTCCATTATATTTTCCGTGTTCTTCTTTTTTATATTCGTCGTTGTGTTCTTTATTATAATCTTCGGTTTCTTCGCGTTTCTTATATTCTCCGTTTTCATGTTGAACGTTAACGTGTTGAGGTGCACCCGATGCCTGTTGAATGACTACGAATGCTGCCACGCTCAGTGCTAACATCTGTAAAATATCATACACATAATAAAATATAAGTCATTATGAGGTACATCGATATAATAGATGTTTGGGTCATACATCTGTATGGGTCATAGGATGGTCAAACTTTTTTTTGCTAGATTTATTATAAAAATATATTTTTCCCTTCAAGTCACTCGACTTCCATAAAATAAAAAATAAAAAAAAAAAATATATATAATTGGTTCTTTTGGATAAACCTATTATATTCACTATTATATTATAATGTATACAATAGTTTATTAGATATATAAGGGGCGTTCTACGGTGTTATCCGAATGTTATAATTCTGTCAATGTTCATTTCTTTTTCTTTTTGTTTTTTTTTCAATCGGGTTTTGTGTTAAGGGTACACAAATGTAGAGAAAAATTACATTTTAATTTTCATCTCTAATTCAACGAAAACAAAATAACTTTGATTTTTCACTTTTTAAACTTTTTAAAATAGCAATTTTGTAAAATGTATTATTCTAAACATTTGAATGTATCGTGTATTCATATCCGATCAATAGTTTCTTAGCGGCTTTAATGCATAGAAAATAGGCGTGAATACAGTTAATTTACCTATTCAATAGAAGATAAGGAATTATATCGTACCTACTGATTACGATTCCTTATAGTGTAACGTGTTGTTCTAGTTAAAAATAATTGTTTTGACACCGATATTCTAGAAACTAAAATGGATATTAATAAGAAGTTGTTGATCAAATACCTATGTAAGTATGGTGTATTCAAATTTTTAGAAAATATGTTTTAGACATTTTAAAATGTAAAAAAATAAAGTATTTTTTCAGCGATCAAAAATTTAATTTTTCTCTACATTTGTGTCCTCCTGACATAAAACCCGATTGACATTTTTTTTTTTTTTTTTTTTTTTAATAAATAAATTGATTCCGACAGGCCGACAAAACATTCGTCGTTCTGGTACAGATAAGTTCGTATTACCGTATGCAATTATATGGAAAGAATGTTTAGGCGTTTCGTGCTTTGTTGTGGCGTACAAGTGTTAATCGGGCTTAAAACTTAAATGAAAAACAAGCCTAATCGGGTTGTGGTAAACATATTTTGAATTAAAATTATCGTAATAAAAAAAAAAATCGGTTAAACTTGATGTTTAAGTACCTGTTTTGAAAAAAAAAGAGCTAATATTGCTGGCGATTGTGCTACAGCTGTATGTGGAAGTTGGGAAGGTAGGATACATAAAGTTATTTAAATCATTGCTGAGGAAATACGGAATTCCGATCGGAAATTCTCTTATGGTTAAACATGTTTTGAAATGCCGTCGTTTTTACGATTGTCGTCCGAATTTGTAATTAAAACGCCCAAAAGCAAATTACTAAATTACGCTTAATTCCCCCCCCCCCCCCCCCTCATGTTAATTATAACTTATAGTAAATCTCGTGTTTCGCGCAATTTAGCTATACCAAATAATTTTATATTTGGTACTGTACACTCACACAGTACCTATAAAACCAAATGAAAACGGATTAAAACTCGGAACATTTGACCACGTTTAGAAAAGGCTAATTTAATCAAGTTGTTTGCGGACGGAACACAAACCAAAGAAATGAACGTCGTTCAGAATTTTAACAAATACTAAATTATCAAAATAAATATCACTGACCATTGTGTAGGACTTCATGGTTCTAAAACGAACAGTATACTGAATGATCTGGCCGTTGAAAATTCACGTTGCTCGCCTGCAGTCACCGTTTGCCGACTGTACGCCGCGTCTGCCGATCCTCGCCGTTTATATAGCGTTCGCGAACCCGCCGATTTATTGTTCGTGAACAGACGGATTATTTAAATAACTCCCAGGGTGTTGATCCCAGATGTTACCGGGGGTCCGGAGATACCCGTGCGAAAAATAACCAGTTTCCGATATTATTCTTCCATCACGCGCGCAGACCAGAAACCGGTTAGCGTGTGTCAGACCTACCGACATCGACGTGTTATTATTGTTGTTGTTGTTGTTGTTGTTGCGAATCGCGCACACGCAATTATTGCCGGTAATTCGTGTTATTATAGTATTGCTATTATTGTTGGCGGGCGAACAACAAACGTTCTCGCATGGACGTTTTTCAACCGTTTTATAAAACGCCAGGGCGGTCAGTACGGGGCGGACAACGGTGACCTTGGGTTTCGAAATTATGCCCGATTATAACATAGGTATAACACCGTATTGTCTACAGATTAGATGTATGCACATTAGATATGTACACACCGCGTGCACAGGAAACCTCGAGGTTTTACCGAAAAATATATTGAGTGTCCGTGCGGTGAAACGCTGCAGCAAGTCATACGATTATAGCACAGGCGCCTATAGTTTACTGAACTCCGCTTTGTCCGTCAAATGCAAGTCATAACTCGTAAACGAATAGTCCGAGTAGGCGCCTAGGTATATTATTATCCCAAGGGTACAGTAATAATAATCTCTATCGATGCGTGATTTGTATATGCAAAAATACTGTTAATTACTGCGCGGAACCGTTTGAATTGACTTTTTTTTTTTTTTTTTTTTTTTGACGAGTAAATCAATAAAAATAACTCGTTGGAATATATTGAATGTAAAAAAAAAAACGTATTAACGTAATTAAAACACTATGTATTGAAACTTGAAATACATTCCGCGGCCGTTTCAATTCATCGTGGATCAGGAGTCAACCACCGGTTTCACATTTTATCGTTAAATTTTTTTCATTCATATATAATATGTATACATAAATACGTATTTCTTTTTTTTTTTTTTTTTTTTACCAAGTTTAACATGCAAACTATAATTTTATTTTTAAGAAAATCATTTTTTTTTTTTCCTTTACAATTTACCTCGATGATATTAAAGGTTTTTTGCAAATTGTTTTTAATGGTAATATGAACATTTTTTCAAACTCTATTTTTATTTTCCATGTTCAATTTTTTAACTGCCTTAATTATACTACCTATAGTTTCATTGTACTTATATAAGATCAATTCTTTACAGTATTACTTCCATAAACATTCAGTAAAGTTAACGAGTTAAAGACGAATGATTGACTTGAGTTTTTTTTTTTTAATTTGAAATATGCTTATAATTTGAATAGGTTGTATCATGTACCTATATCTGACCTACCTATATCTAATTATTGTGATTTAGTTTATTTTTACAATTCACAATTTTTAAAAAATATTGAAAATATTTTTAACGTGGGAAAAAGTACATTTTTTAAAATTTGGACTTAAAGAGTTAAATTAATGTTTTGTTAAAGTTTAACTGAAAGTTTTATCGAATATTCCTCGAAAATAGAAACTATTGCTTTGTGTACGTCGCATAATAAGTATTAATAATTTAATTAAATTGCATTATATAAAACAATATGATTTCCCGATACCCTTTAGTCTTTATTTGCGGCTCCCTCTGGACCAAATGAGCTCAATCAAACTTGTAAGTTATTTAATTAGTTTATTTAATTAAAATGATAAAATTTCGGATGAATTTAAATATGAACTTCACCATGTTATTGCGAGAGGAAGGTTTTTTTTTTTATCTTAACACACCTCCTACACTCTACAGGTTGTTCTAATGAAATAAGGGAAGGACATTTTGTATATGCATGGTGTAAATATCAAGGATGTGTCTTTCTTAAATTTTTTTTATTCTCAAATTTCACGTTTTCACAGTTTTTAAATGTATCCTTACAGATTAATTACAGTAAGTAACGGGGTTTAAATCCTATTTTTATATTATAAATGCGAAAGTTTGTTTGGATGGAGGTTTGTTACCCCTTGTGAGGGCCGTAATAATTGTCACGGGAATACGTAAAACGGTCAACGAACAGTATACAGAGTGACTTTTTTTTTATCATAAACTAGTAATTATTTCGGAGGACTTTAGGTGAATTTGATTTATTATTTCTTTTTAATAATTGTTAAATCGTTTGAGCTGTATTTTGAAACCATTTTAAATTGTTTACAACTACATCATATTATACCTTAAATAAGTAAATACTTTTATTTTTAAAATTGAAACCTTCATTTTTTAGTAATTTTAGTATACATGAGACTAATATCAGAATTGCCGTTTATGAGTTATAACCGTTTAAAGTTTAGATTGGAGGAACAGGGAAGAGTTATTAATTTATTATTTAAAAATAGATACGCAATTTATTACCTTTCTCCACTCCTCCAGTATACACTTTAAAGTTATAACAGTAAAACAGTAAATCTGATATTAGTGTTACGCATTTTTAGAAAAATATCCACTATTCGAATTTATATTCAAAATCGGGTTCTTAATTTAAAAACAAAAGTATATACCTACTTATTTCAGGTGCATGGAGTGGGGGTAAAAAATTAAAAGTAGTTTTAAAATAAAGCTTAACCAATTCCACAATGATTAAAAATAAAAAGAGAGCTGATACTGGAGATGGAAGCGGCTACTATTGTAGGTGAGAAGTTGGGAAGGTAGGATACATACGGTTATTTCATTTATATCTGTAGGCAACGATAAACCATAACTTGACGAGAGACGATTCCGAGCGCAGTTCAGTAATATATAATTTGAAGTACCGTAATTTTGTTTGCGATTTTCGTTTAAATTTAATTTCAAAACGCTTATTGAAAGAAAAAAAATTCTACCTCGTCTAGGTAAGTCCAATATAAGTATTATTACCAAGTTTCAAGTCTCTACGTGTATTTATAACCGAACTACATCAAAAAAAATTAAATTCCTTAAAAGTTCAAAAATAGCTAAAAATGTTTGGCAACGATACCGTAAGAAAGTAAATCAAAAAGGCAACAAAAAAGGTGTGTTGTGATTTTTCGAATAAATCATTTTTTTCTGGTAAAAAATGTCGTCGTCCGTGTTTTTATAAAATAATGAAATCGTGAAATTGTACGTTTTCATACGTTTGATCCAACTTAAGTGCTTTTGTTTAAGAAATGGCGTTGAAAATCAAAAAACGACTCGTTTAAAGTACCATCTAGACAACTTGAATTTTCAGAAAAGTTGCTACACGTAAAAATCGGAGCAAGTTTACTAGGAAACAACTGACTCCACTGACTAAAACAAAGAAAGAAAGAAAAAAAAAAATTAAACATCTCAGTAAAACCAATAGCTCCCTCGCTACGCTCGGAATATAAAACAGAAATCAAATTTACTTAAAATCCTCCGAGAAAATTGCTGGCCCATTACAAAAAAAATCACTCTGTACAGTTACCATGGAAATTTGATATACTCACCATTGTATCGGATTGTAATTCTTTTGGCACGAACAACGCCGGGCGGCACGGCTATAGTTTATACAACATACAAATAGTCATGGGGATCGTGTGTTTAGAACGTTTCAACTTTCGACCCAGGCAATTCCCCATATTACGCGTTTCCCATTCCCACACATTTAACTGCACAGTTACACCCGTCGGTCGTTGCTCGGTCAAAGGGTTTATTTATCCCAGTCATCTATATTAATATTGGTTGACTGCCAAAGGATAAGCGAATAATCGAGCAGAAATACGAAATAGTTTCTGAAATTACTCGGCTCGGCGATTTTTACAAAAATAATATAATATTATAATGTTGAACATATTAGGACGTAAAAATATTATTACGTTTGCACTTATATTCCCTTTATGAACGATCAGACATACAACTCAGAAATTAATCATATCGTGCATCGTCATGCACGCGTATAAAAACCTGTTATTATTATTTACTGTTTAGATTGATGGCCGAATACGTACCTATAATAGCCTATAGGTGAATTTGGGAGTGGTAGTCCGACTCGAATAAAGAAAATAATACGTAAAAAGTCATAATAATCATTTTCGTCTTATAATATTACAATATACAGGGTAATTTTGTTCATCACGGACCAGCAATTATCTCAGAGGATTTTAAGCGAATCGGATTTCTGTTATATCAGGTAATAAATTGCCTATTTTTAACTTTTCCCTACTCTTGCGGTCTAAACTGTAAACTGTTATAACTCATAAACTGTAAATCCGATATTAATGTTATGCGTATCGATATTTCGGGGGAGGGGGATTCCTATTTTTGAAAATCAAAAGCATGTACAGATTTGAGGTGCGTGGAGTCGGGGTGAAAGATTAAAAATGGCTTTGAAATAAAGCTTAAACAACTTCTATAACGATTAGAAAAAAACAGAAACAAAATTCACTTAAAATCCTCCGAGATAATTGCTGGTTCATGATAGAAAAAAACAAAAAAAAAATCGCCCCGTAATATGCACAGAAACAATATGCATAGACGTTCGACAATCATAATACGATAATAGTATCCCGTATTAAACCGTGTTGCCATACACTCTTAGCCCTCGGGCGCAACCATGTATACATACATACGTATACATGTATGTACGCTCGTATACATATTTGAATTATTTACGATCGTTCCGCATTGGCCGGTCGGGATTGCAATCGTTTTTGCAGTTTGGTTTTCGATTCCGTTTATAAAATGTCTGGCTGTGCATTTATTTTCAACGTCGACATTTAAATAGAGAATGCGGGGACCTCTTAATAAACGAATACGAAATGTTTGCGTTTAAATCCACAATTCAAGACAGTTTGCCTAATACGACACTGTATTATGGCGCCCGTCACCCATGTGACGGGTGTCTGTGTGCGTGTGTAACATTTATATTGATTATTACGGTCGAACTATTTTCTACCCATCAATAATGATAGCTACACGTGGTCCGGTTTTTAACATTATTTCACTCGTGAATAAATTAAATTGCGTTAATTTATTAGTTTTTCAAATTACGCCGTCATTATCGTCGACTTATTTGAAAATACGATGCGTAATATTACCGATATGCTTACAATTTTATTTATGATAATAAATTGTGTTTTGGCTTGCCGAGATTTCCAACGGACCGCGTGCGTGTTATCGAAAGCATAATATTGTTTATTCGGAGATTCGTTTTCAAAGGCTTGGTTGAATATGTGTTATCTACAGAATCCACATTCTACATGTGTATAATGCATATTTGCACATATTGATCATGCTGTTAAAATGCTCGTTTTTATTGTGTTTGTTAATATTCTTAAATGTATTATTAAACGTAAATATACTATTCCGTACACGTTTGTCCTTTTTGCCAGTACGATTCCGTACGTTTGTTGGATTTGACAACGTTTATAAAACAAACATTACTAAATAGTTTTATTTAATATTATAAAAATTTTATTTATTTTTACGCGATCCACAAAAAAAAAAAAACTCACATACTTAAAATGCTTTTAAATCACTTTTTTTTTGGTGGTGAGTATCGGCTGATAGTGTGGATATCGGAGTATCGACTATCGGGTATTTTCAAAACCGATATTCAACCAGATATTTTCGAGGAAAAATTTTTTTGGATATGAAAAAAATTGGGTTTTCAACCGATATATCGGTTAATTTCAACGACAACTCAAGATTGGGTTTACCCCTGCTGCAATTGAACCGGTAAATCCGAATATTATCCTAATTCCGTACTTGGCTACCTATCAATTATAATATTATCATAATACATTTTTTCATAAATTATAATAATATATAGGTACAAATATAATTTAACTGGTTTAAACGAGTAAAAAAAATAAACAAGCTTTTTTTTTAAAAAAATGCATGCAGTTTAATCTTTTATCAAACAGGTTTCGATCGTGGTCACGTCGTATTATACAGAAAATTATAAACAACTATAACGGTTATACTCGAGTTAAAACCATCATTTTTACGTATATATATGCATGGGTTTTTTTTTATACATACGTTATATTGTTAAGTGGGTATAGGTACTCGAGAGCGCGTGATACCCACGCGTATTGTGCTTTCTCCGTCTTACAAGTGCACGACGTAGCATTTTTGCGTTCACCAGAGATAACTTTATGTCTTTATGTTGTTAGTTTCAATATTAGAGTGAATTGACCTACAATGAAAATTAAAGGTGAGAACATTTCCTGTGCAATCGTGTAGGTTTTTTGTCGATGTTTTAATTTTTAAAACGAGATATAGGTAATCGTTTTAGATTCGGAGTAGAGTAATTTCATGACTGAAAAACCAGAGAAAAAAAACTGTTCCTAGAAAAGCGCACAAATATTTAAGACGCGCCACCGCGTTGTTGTTTCATCGTTTTCTATTTGTATACGCATTCAATATCAACAAATGCGAATAGACCTTTTTTTTATATAATCTTTGAACATAAGGTCAAAGAAGGAAGTAATTTTTTGATTTTCCAATGAATTTTCAAGATAAATGGGAAAAAGACGAAAAAGGAAAGACGTAAAATGAAAACTGATAAATTTACGCCGTTATAGTTGTATTATTTTAAAATTTAAATTGTTACGGTTTATGTTTTCTACATATAATATTGCTTCAATAGTAAAATGACAAGAAACCATTTTATTGAATTTTTAATCTAGTAAATTCTATTAGTAAATTCATTTTTTAATTTTCCGTTTAGTTGTTTAATTATTAGGAAATACTGGAAAAAACGTAGAAAGAAACAAACATTTATGGACATTTATGATTTCATTATTTTCAATTTTGTTTTTTGTTGTAATTCAGTTAAATACATTCGTAGACACTTAAAATTTTGATAAATACTAGCAATGAACTCTTTAAGACGTGGTAAAATTTCCAACAGTTTTTTGTTTTTTTACAGGCATATTATATTCGTAAGTTTTTTTTTTTGGTATAGCACCTATGTGAATAATATTATTAATTTGACCAAACATATATAATGTTTGAGAATTCAATAGGAAGTTCATTATAAGTCGTACTTAGTGGTAAAAAAAAGTAAAGTAAAATCTAAGATTTTTTTTTTTTTTTACAAAAGTTTTATTATCAAATTTTTATGAAAATCGTAAATACTAAAGCCTTTCAAATCATGTATAAACGAACTTAGTTCAGAATCGTGTTTCGATTATCAATAGTTTGTCGTTGCTAACAGATATAAATTAAATACATTTATGTATATTATCTGCCCAACAACTCGTTTATATCATTGGTGCACCTATCAGAAATATCAGTTCTTTTATAATGTAATATTTTACTCGCTTAAAAATTTAAATATTGGAAGAAACCTACTCGGTTACACACTTTATGTTCTTCCTTTGAAGTTCAAAGATTGGTAAAAATAACAAATATTGTACAAGAAAATTATATCTACATAAACAAACAACAAATATTAAATAATTCATTAATATTTATGTATATATCTGTATAAATGCAAATATTTTAGGCTTTAATTTAGCAAAACTATCTTTAAAATATCTCTATTTCACACTATATGACCATTGATTTTTTCGTTAAAATACTGTAATAAAATCACAAAAAAACGTTTTTGTAAAATTACAAAGTTATCGATTTATACAATCAATTTTATATGAAACTATCTACGTCTATATATTTTTAATGTATTAAGGAAAATTCACTGGATGCATTTCTATTCTCTTGCAATCTCGCAAATGACTCCACTATCGGATATCATTGGTAATTAAAATCGGTAGTAACGACTTGATGTCGAACAAAAGGTTGATGGAGACTCAAAATTATGTATAATATATAATTTCGTTCACTGCCTCGCATTTGTTTCGCAATAATAATATAGTAACTAGACAATGAAATACCGTGTTTATTTTAAAACAATCAAAATATTTTTTTTTATATTCAACGTGTTTTTCGCTTTTCCTTGCACGGATGAAACTGTAAGAGTATCTCTACAACATGATGTTTGTGTACACTACATTATTTATATCATGGTATTTGTCGATGATCTGTTACAGTGCAACCTCCGTTGTTAAACCGTAAGTAAATCACCGGGCCACGGTAATTATCGGTCGATGTCTAAATCACTAGGTAATGTATTTTTTAGATTCTGAACAATTTTTTTTACGATTTTAAACATTTCAACTTATCGGCTTCTTCTTCGCCTTATTGTTTTCGCCTTTCCCACCTACCTGTGCTTGTCCCTGCATCTGCATATGTATACATGTATGTATTAAACATTGCATATTATCCAACCCGTCCGGTTTAAATGTTATAAAATAATATTGAATAATTGAATATTTAATAATATTTAACTGCGTACCTAAAATTCTTTGATGCGCGGTCAAAATGTGTAGAGTTAAAAATTATAACGTTGCAGTAAGGAGTTATTGAAAGTATGGACATTCGTTCTATATCGATTTTTTATTACATAAACATTGTTACACTAATTTCGAAACAATGCACACTTTTAAATTTAAGTTGTTTTAAATAGTATTGAAGAGATTAGACTAAATCAAATACAAATGACAATTTAAAACATGATTTTCGAAAAAACACAACTGAACTCCTTAATATTATATTATATTATTGCTATTTTTTTCAAAGTTTCATATATTTTAATAACAGTTTAAGCACTTATATTATAGAGGTAATCCGTTGAACGTGTTAAAGAAATATCTCCCTAAAAGACCCGGCACTTTACAACACCCGTCTTCGTCGTCATCGAGTGTCGTGACTGCGACCGTTACCTTAGTCAGCACTGTCGAACGGCCAACGAGACGGCCAACACGGCGAGAAGTTTACTCACACAGCATACTGAATGACAGCCCACCGATGCCGTCGACGCTCTTAAATGGCGATAAAAGCTATAAAGACAACAAAAAGGTTACGAGAAACTTGAATGCTGCCGATGCGTTTCACAAATTCCAGTACATGATGACCAACTGGAAAACCAACAGCTTGAAAACATCGTGTGACGACAATACGACGGCGTTGGCACCTCGGGCGACCGTCACGAAGGCCAATGGCAGGGATAAGACCGGACATCCGTTGTCCAAAGACTACGACGAGAATACTCGGGAGCCTGTATGGCGGGCGACCGTCACGGAGGTTAACGGCAGGGCTCTGACAGGCAACCCGGTGTCCGATTACGGTGGTAGTCCGGAAGAGGCCGAGAAATATTACGACGAGGTAGACCAACCTGCAGTCGTGTGGAAAACTGGTATCTATGGTTCGTTTAAGGTTGGGCGAAGAAATTCAGCAGATGATGACGATGACGATGACGACGACGAACATCAGAATATGATGTTAGAAGATGTCACATGTGAAAACATGTAGTTTCTATCAGCGAAATCATGTCAAACAAAGAACTGAAAGATGAGTGGCTTGGAAAAACACTGGGAAATACAATAAATGTTACACTATACAGAACCCTCACGTTTAAGGAACGTGTAAAAAAACTAAAATGATAGTTGAAGCAAGAAACAACCTAACACAGAAACTAGAAGGTAGCAAATGGGGTGCGACTCTAAATATTATCTGAACTAGTAAGCTATACAACTTTTTTCTCTGCTGGCGGATATGCTAACTTAGTATGGAACCAATTAAAACATACCAAACATGTTGATACGGTACTTAATGAGACCTGGTTAGGTCAGGTTCTGCTTTCTTCGATTTGTTCAATTTTTACTTTATACGCCATATAATAATATTAGAATCTTAGTAATAGTAAGATAACAGTAGGATAATACTACTTGCAAATGCTACAATAATCTCATCTGTAATTCATTAAGTTAGAGGTTATAATAGCACGTGTAAAATACAATTGGTAACATTTGAACTATGTCTAATGAAATTAGAAACATTTGGGTCGAGCGTTTGGTCAGGCGTTTGGGTCAGGCAGAAGTTTAGCACGAGAGTGGCCGATACCAAATTGTGGGAATGAATTCGAAGGAGAAGAAGAAGAAGATTATTATGATTTTATAAGATTATAATTGTGTCTTTCCATAAGAGTTCGATGTGTTACGTTTCTTATAAAATAGTTATAGTTGTGTGTGTACAGAAATCGGTAGTTATACAATTAGTATTACCTAATTATTATACGGGTATCAACAAAAACGCAACAAGTTGAATGGTATAACATTTATAAGTACACAACATCGGAGAATGTGCCAGTAGTATTTTATCAAACTGTAATACATCGATGAAACTAACTCACGAATTTCTTAAACGTATTATTTATTTATTGAACTTAACGTTGCTATATATTAAAAAATTATTAAGATATGTAGTAATTTTTAGTAAGTATTTCAAGATAATAGATTTTTATAAAATAAAAATATTGGCAATAAAATAAACACAATACAATACATACTATGGACGATGAATGTTTTTCCAATGTGATCAAAGTATGTTTTTGTGTGTTCTAAAAAAAAAAAAAAAACAATAATAATAAAAACAAGAGTTAAACAAAATTAAGACTACAATTTTATATTATTGATTTGAACAATTTCTAAACAGTTTTACACTGGAGTTTCTATGCCATAATATACAAGGTCTTCCAAATTTCTTATTGCAATCAAATGTTTCATGAAATAGTAATTATTTTTGAAAAAAATGGTTTTTGTATACACTTTTAGGAATCATACATTCTAAATTTTTTTACATTATTCTTATTTTTAGTGAAACTATTGCCTACTTTTGATTTTTAAATATATAATATTTTCAAACCTACATGTATATTTATGAATAGTACATGTTATAGTATATCAACCTGTACATTAAAAGTTCTATAAATATTTAGAATTTTAGTTTAATATTTTAATTGGTGTTGACATTTTTAATTTCTGTAAACCTGTTGACGAGCTATAGTAGAGTATTATTTGTGTGGTGGCGTTGCGCGTGTAGCGTTTGAATAGTGTTTTACTACTTTCCTCTTACCAAAACTTTAATGTAGAATATCTTGTGGGCTGATAGAAATTCAAAATGGGGAGTTACAAGTCACAACACTCAACCCTGCTTCTCTGGCTACGTCACTGAGTATGATATTAGTGTATTATAATAAGTATTTTTTGAATATCCATGGTCCAAATAAATTGTGATCGATTATGCCTTGATTTCAAATTATGAATTAAAAACATTGTTATTACTCGTACCACAGGATTCGATTAAAGAAATGCAACTTTTTAAATAATGGAATTTGTAATAATTATATCGTCCAACCAACACCGAAGAACCTGCCAGATGTGAAGTTGGTTGTTCGAGTCGTGAATCAGATCAGTTTACATAGGGCGCTCTACACGGGAATTCGGACAATCAGACCAAACACTAATTCGCTGTTTTAAAACACAAGATGGCACCACGCTATCCAAGATAGAAAATTGTATTTTTCATGTATAATTTTAATTAAAGTATTGTTAAGATATTAATATCGGTTGCGGGAGATCTGTGGATATGTAATGAACTCATTGGTATATCTAAATTATTAAAAGAGAGTTTTACCACGCAAAGTATACATATTTTTTCTGTCATAATTTCAAGTCTTTACAAATATTTATAGCTGAATTATAAAAAATAATGAAATACAATTTAAAATAATAACAGAATTAAATATTTTCTCGTTCTTTTGACTATTTCCCGGTTTTTCCTGACTATTTATACAACTTCAGAGAAAATCAAAAAACGACTTTCTTACTAACAGATTAAAAATGCAATAAAAAAGATATTTTATTTTTTCTTCGATCGGAGTGATATTTTTTTGAAGTTGCAAAAATAAAATCAATGAAATCAGTATTGCCACGGTGCGCTTTAAATAATTTCCGTTCTCTATTATTATTCTTTCGAATTTTTCCCAATTATCTCGAAAACCCCTTGGGAAATCAAATAATGAACTATTTAATGACCAGCTGGATAAAATTTTCTTTCAGAAAAAATATTATACTCTATACATCGGAGCAAGATTTCTGTTCTAAAAGTTGTTTATAGCCAAACAAAATACACCATAGACAAACTTGCAATAGATCCCTCGTTATGCTTCAAATTTAAAATGTACAGCGTATGAATTCATTATTTGAAATTTGTATGAATTGCATTTTTTACCAGAAATTTCGTTTCAATCAAAAAATCACAAGAGACATTTTCTGTTGAACGGTGAAGAGTCAGAAATTTCGTTTTTTGATATTCCGTGCAGTTTTCAAAAATAATTGAATAAATTCAGGAAAATACATAGATAGAACATGAAAGTTTACGGAAATAATGGTTTCATTATTTGCAGTTTTTTGTTGTTATTCATTTAAACATTTTCGTAGAAACTTGAAATTTGAAAAAAAAACTTATATTGATCTTTTCTAGAAGTGGTAGATTTTTACAAAATATTCTGCAATTATGTTTGAGTTAATTATAGGTATACTAAGTTTTCGTACATAGTTTGTCTTTGGTAGGTACTGTGGAGATAAATTTGTTTGATCAAACAGTAACGCTTGAAAATTTAACACGAATTCCATTATAAGTTTTACTTAATAGTAAAAAAAAAGTTGAGCCTAATATAGAAGTTTTTTTTCTTTTTATAATCGTTTTAAGATCGAATTTTGAAGAAAATTTTAAATATTACGGTAATTCAAAACATGCATAACTGAACTTCACTTAGAATTGTATATCGATAGTAATTGTTTACTGTTGCTTACAGGCATAAATTAAATGGCTATACGCATCCCTACAATAGTATCGCATTCATCAGCAGTATCAGCTTTCTTTTATAATTGAATACATTTTTCGGGGAAAAAAAAAAAACACAAATTATCGAGAGCTTTTCGTTATATTTCGATCGATAACAAACAGAAGTGAAATAGGCCAATATTATAACAATCTCGGGGCTTGTGAGCTACGGACGACACTAATAATTTTTTTTGTTCCTATAGACAGACCAGATTATGTCGGGCATTTGGTAATACTGGCAAATTTGCCTAGAAATTGTATACGTGTACACAATTTTTCTGTTTGTAATTATCAAAGATTACATACACATACACACGCACGCATGCCGGTCTCACAAAATAAACATCAAAACGTATTCAAATATATTTTGAAATATTTGAATACGTATTATTCTACACTAATTGCGTTTTAACTCATCAACTCGAATGCATATTCCGAACACAAAATAAAACTATAATTCTTTACAAGACAGTTAAACAAAACACTCATAGGATACCATGTAGACAATCGGATGGGGTATACGTGACCGTGTTCCATTAGCCGAATAGCGGTCTGAACTTGTGACAATTCGAACACGAAATCGTTACCGGCCCGGGTATTGTTCGTAACATTGTTATATTTGATATTTTATATCGTGTTTCGGTCAATATTTTTCGATCGTCGACTTACAGAGGCCTGCACAGTGGAAAACCTCTGTAGGTACGTCAATAAAATTTGTACGGTAAATAAATTTAAAAAAAAAAAAAAAAGAATTATTTTACTTGAAGATAAAAACGCCCGTTATCGGGTTTATGTATGGATACGGTTTTTATGATATCACAACGTTATAACATCGGAATATCAGCCTTTATGGCCTTTAGGCATTTCATTACCGTTTTGGTTTGAACTTATTATCAATATTGCTGTGTTAATATTACATATTATATTATTTAAACTTTCACAATACACCATACAGATTAATAACGATAACGACAGTACCTCAGTACCGAGCAGCGGCGCGGGTCCGACCATTTTTTACATGGGAGGGTGGCACATTTAGACTTTCGGGTTTCGGGCACCGGGCCTAGTCCTTATAGTGACATATTCCTAAAGCGCGCTCCGCTTACATTAATTAACAACTCCAACGCGTCATCCCTGAACATATTGTTGGCACTGTCGGCCAATAGCAGCTTACGTGTATATTATGTATTTTTTTTTTTTAATTACGACAAGTTCCTCCGCGGGGTCATCTTAAATTCGGCGACGTCTCGCCGTTGCGGAGAAAACCGTCAGGGGTAGAAAACCGTCGAAATGCACGCGCGAGGGGTTCCGCGAAGCATGCGACCGACTCGGGTCGGCGGCACGGCGCTGTTTACACGCGATTCACAATAACGGTGCGGCGGCGGTAAAAAAAAAAAAATACCAAAAAAGATTAGGTAATTTATTTTAACGGGACTTTCGGTTGTTTTTCCCCCTCTGCTATTTTGTTTTTTTTTTTTTTCTGTCCCCGGTTCGTAGATACCTACGCATTTACGGCGTATTTATACGTAACGGTATACTTATAAACGTATATTATAATATGCAGTACATTTGAATTGCTCGTAACGCTTGTTGTCTGACGACGGCGATGACGACAACGGCGGCGG